TAGAAAACTTCCGTTGGGCTAAACAATCTCCCCCTAAATCTAAATCTTAAGACCTTATCAGAAAATAGGGTTTTCCGAGCTTTGTTTTCTTTTTCATAATTTTGATTGAAGCGAATGGAAGTGATTTATTAAAGTTTTCTTTATCGGAATTTCTTTCTTCATTAGAACCTTTTAATCAATAGAATATTTCTTTATCTTGTACCTAAAAACATATTCTAAAAACTATTGCATATATAATTGGTTAGAAATATATGCAATGAGATTTAGAGAATTAGGTATGCATCAAAATCATCATCATGCTTTCTCCCTTTTTTTATAATAAAAAATATTTCATTTATTGAACAGGTAAAGATTACAGGAGAAAAACAAGATAAGATAGAAACAACAAACATGGTTTCCTAGAAGTGCCTATGGGTTAGAAGAAGATGGAAGTTTCGGAAGAATATGCTTGAGCACATCCAAAACACTTATGTTGAAAGCTTCATGTTTATCAAATTTTTCATTGACTCGCGCTTGTTCCTTTTTCAATTATTCAAGAGTTTGTAGTACAATGGAAGTTTATAAAGCCTTAGAAGTATCTGCCATAGGTTTCTCAAAAGTTGCTTTTCTGGCAGCTTCTTCTTCAGCTTATTTCAGAGCAGCTTCTTCTTCTGCCTTTCTCTTTGCTTCTAAGGCATGAAGTTTCTCTTATGCTTCTTGAACAATCTTTTCCTGAATCTGAACAGCGAGATTTTTTATTCTTAAGGCCTCTACAGCTATCTATTTGTTGAACCTATTCCATCTGGAGTTTACACTTGAAGAGTGATGGCTAACACTGGATTCCTCAGTGAGTCTCTTGACTCGTCTTACTGCATTGTCCTTAAAGTTAGGTATTACTTCATCAAGGTTAAGGCTAGGAAATTTAGGATCGGGATTGGTTTCTTCATCAGAAGTAGTTTCATTAGAAACCATTTCATCAAAGTCAGGTGAGTTGGTGGTGACTAAGAGATTGTTGTCAAAAGGTTGGTTATTAGAAATAGGAATTGCATCTGAATGCGTGTTTTCGGCATGAATTGAAATTTCTGAAATGGAAACGGTTGTGGTTGTGTCTCTGAAATATGTTGGTTGAAAAGAGATTTTTAGAATGAGTGTGGAAAAGAAATTTATGGAGGATGTAGAAGGTGTGAATGTTAGTGGTTTGAAAAGGATTTTAGGAGTGAAATGCAATAAAATGACTTGAATGTAAAGAACTAAATTTATAAAATGGAACACAATACATACATTTTCTGCACTCGTTTCTCTTAACAATTGGTACTTTGAGTATTTAGAATTTGTGTGTACAATTGTGGATCCTAAAATTATATACAACTAATGCTTATATACAAGTCCTAAAATAACTGTATATAACGGTCGAAGCATCAAATCTTACCACACTTCCATCACCATGCAAACTTCGTCCTCATAAGCTTTACACGTGTTATCGAGTAACCTTCTGATCTTATATATTTGGAGTTTCCTCGATGAAGCAGTTAAGCACGCTTGGCTAGATACTTGAAATTTCACTAAGTCCCAAACATACAACCCTCATTAATAACTATTTGACCAAACTCATTATTATCCTTCGACAAAACAATTATTGAGAAATTATGTGGTTGAACTTGGAGTGTTTTGACTTGAAACTAAACCATTATCCAAGATTCTTTATAGCTACCAACCTTAATACTTTTGTTGAAAATCTAAGATAACAACTTTGAGGTCAATTTGTCTTGTTCTGGTCACGTGAAGACTTAGTAGAAAGTTGCAGAAGTCTAAAGATTTATAACCGATAATTCCTTTTGTAGCAAAGGAGTTTCAAATATGTTTTAAACGACATTAACCTTATCAAAAATCTTTGAAACGAATTTGTTGATGCTTCTCTCAAAATACTCTCTTGTGCTTGAAGTTCTCTCTAATGACTCTTTCATGAAACTCTATAAAAGGAGTTGAAGATTTGGAGAAACACGCAACACTGCACCTTGACAGGAAAAGAAAAGTTATTTTTTCAAAACAAAGAGTACAAGATAACTTAGAACTTCTTATCAATTGTACATTCTTAAAAGTTCTTAAGTCTTAGAGTTTTATGTGTTGTATTCTATTTACACCTCTGATTGTATATCAAGTGTAATTATCACTTTATCACTTTAATTTATTTGTTAGATAGATTGTTATAAATCTTTTGCTTGTGTGCTTGAGCAGAGAAGTCTCTTGATTGTATGCTTGAGCAATTAGAAGTCTCTTACATGCGTACTCGAGCAATTGGAAGTCTCTTGCATGTGTGCTTGAGCAATCAGAAGTCTCTTGTCTGTGAGCTTGAGCAATCAGAAGTCTCTTGGTTGTAAGCTTGAGCATTTAAGTTTATTATTTATGTGTTTGGACATTGGAAGTCTCTTGCTTGTGTACTTGAACAACTTGTAATCAGATTTGATTATCGTGGAAATCTCTTGTAAGTGCAAGGGGACTAATCTACTCCTAATTTATAAAAGGAACTAAGATAATTGCTTGTTTGTTATCTTTCTCTCTTATTTATCTATTCAACTTTATTTCACTGCCACTTATCAGACTCTGAATCATATTCTGAATATTATAATCAGAATTTGATAAGAGATCTTAAAGAGAAAAATTAAAAAAAGTCAACACAGTTCAACCCCCCTTCTTGTGTTTTTCTCACCTTCAATGAAGATTGTGAGAAAAATTACAAGATACTTAAAAGGATTGATAAACTGTGGAATATGTTTCCACGAGATTCTGAAAGCAAAGAAGCTACGATGACTTGTTATCAAGATACTAATTGGTGTAGAGATAAGGAAGATCTAAGAAGCACAGTTGTTTACTTCTTTCAAGTATTTGGTGCCCCAATCTCATGGTGCTCGAGAAAGTAACCTCTGGTGACATTATCATCGTATGATGTTGAATATATAGCAAAATAATATGTTGCGTGTCAATAAATTTGGATCAGATCTATGTTAGAAGATATATAGGTCGAAGTAAAGAAACCTCTGATGTTGCAGATTGACAATAAGTCAGCCATAAATCTTACAAAGAATTCAATTCTGCTTGGAAGGAGTGAGCACACCGAAGCTAGATTTCACTTCTTAAGGGAGAAGGTAAATCAAGGTAAACTTGAAGTGAGACATTGCTCAAATGAAGCACAGTTGACCGACATTTTTATCAAAAAATTGAAGATCAACAAATTTCTGAATTTGAGAAAGAAATTAGGAATAGTTCAAATCGACTATAATTAATTTATGTTCGATAAGTTGGATTACAAGGAGATATGTTGATATACAAAAAAATTTGTAGCCTAAGCTCAAATTAGTTAGGATTTATTATGGTAATTACTTAGTATACAAGTTAATCTTTTGTATATATATACATAGTGTAATTTAATTTGAAATAACAACAAATACTATAGCTATCCTTATTCTTTATTCTCTCATTCCTTTTCTCATTCAAAGTGCATCAAGCACTAACAAGTAGTAGTGAGAAGTTATAGTTACTTAAATTTTATTCTCAAGAGAATGTTGAATTTTCACCTTTTAACCATGAGAATAATTATAATAAAGTTTATGTATAAGAATATTGATCGGTCATCATGAGAGGAAACATAGATATTGAGCATTTTTTCAAACAATGTGAGAATTACACAATTTACACAATTCACACGTTGAGTCAAAGATTATCCTAAAAGTTAAAGACTCACCTAAACAAGTGAGATACACCGAATATTTATTTAAAACATTAAGGCAATAAATATATGAATGTTTTTATTAAATGCTTAACCTCAACTTTTTCAAATAATATAAGATTTACACAATCCACACTTGTTTTTTTCCACAATTATTTTTTGAAATAAAAAATACGTGAAAATAATTTTTTTAAATTTGAAATAAATGTAAGATTATTGGATTTCCAATATCTTATTAAAAAAATACAATTTCAATTCTTAAAACAAGCACTATAAATAATTGGTTGCGTATTTAGAGAATTTTTATTGGGTTGTCAAAAAGTATAAAATATTTTCTTTTTTAATTCTCGTTAATTTAATTAAATTTCTTGACAAGAGCGTTTTTGAATAAAAGTGTAAAACATGTCTCACAAGTAGTTGAACTCTAAACCACAAGGTGTCCTACACTATACGTAAAAATTAGCATATGTTTGGTTTTATGATAATAATAATTAATTTTAAGTAAATTAATCATGTAAAATTAATTTTAATTAAAAATAAATTTAATATAAAATAGTTTATATTTAAATATATTTTAAAAAAATTAATTGAACAATATATTTTAGTGTGAAAATCACGAAAAATTTCAAAAATCACCCATCATATTTTTAAGTTAGAAATCAATTTTTAAAGCGAAATCAATTGTTTTCAACAAAAATCAAACATAAAAGTCAATTCCACCGTTGTAAATAATTTTAAATTATTAATAACAAGACGTTAGTAGTCAATAGTTTCTAAATACATGAAAGTTATAAAAACATTCACAAGAGTGTTTTGTTAATACTTTTTTAGATCAAGATGACTAATAAAAGATACATTCGATGATCAAACTAATTAATAAAAAACAAATTAAAAAACTAAACTGGCTACCAAGAGACATATTCAAATATGTCATACACTATTATGATATAATCTCATACATTTAAGAAACGTCTAAGACATTTAAAAAAACAAAATGATTATTTCCTTGAAGAATAAATTTGCATTGAGTTTTTTTTTTTTAATAAGTACTATATTATCAACTAAACACTTGGCTAAAAAAAGTTACTTGAAATCACGTTAAGTCATTTCAATTGATAGCTTTGCAAGAACATAAGATATAGTGGCGAGGGTTTGAACCTGCGATATCCCACTTGTCCACTTTTAAAAGGTGAATTTCAGCAACTATGATAAAAAGAAAATTGCTAAGTATCCTAGCACTTGAATTCGACCAGATAACTTTGGAAGTTTACTCAGTAGTCAGCAGATGTTAATTATTGGCAACATACACGACAAGAGTATGAACAAAACAGGTGTACAACTAGGCACCACATACAAAAATAAAAGGATCACATTATTGCTATACACATACATACTACTCTGTTTGATAAATGAATGTTTTATGATAAAAGATTCTGTCATTCTTGTTGGTTGTGCACGTGAGAACTTGCAATGGTCCCCCACACCTGCACTATATACATCTGTATGTTCAAAATGTACTGCAATACCAAACCATGAATCTGAAAAATGTTTTTTTAGTAATGTGCTGTGTTATCCACTTTTCAATTTCTTTTTTGAAAAATGTTTAGTAGAAATGAAAGTTTTTCTAATTTTTATAGGTTCTCAAAGTAGTTAAGTACATCTTGCAAATCAAAATACAACATTCATCAAGTCTGTTCTAATAAATTTTCTAAATACAAATTTACTAAGTATCTTCCTGTTGACAAAACATCGAGTCTCTTCTCGCTTTGTTCGTATTTTCCTTTGCGAAGCTGATATCGTAGTGTTACAGCTGAAATAGTATAAGCCTGTCCTTCAATTGTGACACTCTCCCCACACTGCAAGTTCTGCTTTAAACAATAACAATAAATAAATGATACTATCACTTTACTTGGATGCAACTGAATATGTCATGTTTCTTTTTTCTTTCTCATAGTTATAATTAGTCATATCACCCGAAATAACATGTGTTGGATCACGAGTATGAATAATTGAATCAGGAGGCTAATAATACAAGACATGACAGGTGATCCAATATTGCTTTACTGAACAAGTCGTGAAAAGTTGAACTGAAGAGTCTACCAAAACTTTTTTGCTTTCAGAACCCTAAAGGCAGAGGAACATTCACAGCTAGTTAACCAAATACCTTGCTTCAATTTCTAATCTCAGAAGGACCCATCTGCATTCTCTTATAATGTTTTTCTATTAAGAAAAAAAGATAAATAGTTTACGAAGCAATGACATAGACACGAACAACAGACACAACAACAGTAATAATTTGAGAAAATTAATTAATTGAATGTATCAGGCATGTGTCGGACACCAGACACGCCTTAGATTAGAAGTGTGTGAGCTTAACAGAAAATGGTGATCCTAAAGAAGAAGTCATAGCCACAAACCATCAAACGCACAAAATTAATATACTTCAATTTTTAATATCCTTTTAAACCTTGTATTTTAAGGTCCAACACATGGGTTGTCTTCAATTATATGCAGCCTACATGTTAGCATGATTGCATCTTTTTCATCACATGTTCTCATATCAAAAGACCTATATAATATAGAACTTTATCCATCCATTCTGCAAAGGTCAATTTTAGGAAAGTCTGTAAAGAGCTTGAATTTTTCCTTTTACAACCTATTTTCATGGTGGCATATACCTCCAAGCCAATGAGGGTTTTAAAAAACGGTCCGCGACCGCGAAAATGGCCGCAACAAAACAGTATTGGCAAGTGCCGATACCAATACCGCTATCATCGCTTTATATGTTAAAGAACAAATTGTGGTTTAATTCACACCGCAACGACCACGATCGGTGTGGCGACACTTGTACCAACCGAAATCGCAAAAGCCTTTACGTGACCGCGACCGTTTTTTAAAACCCCGCCAATGGCATTCACTCTTTTGAGTGAGAAGCAAACTCCAATAAAAAAGGGCTCACTAAAGAAGCAAAACAGAATCACTGTTTTTTGACTTCAATGGATACTATAGCAACATATTAATGCTAGAGACTTGTATCAAAGCTCTATTCTAGAATAGCAAGTCAAATATTTGCAATATTGTTTTTAAAGTAGCCTTTTTTCACATGGAGAAGTATCCTTGAATGTAGAAATATTTGCTGTTTAAAATAAGATTAGGATCCATGTAAATAGAGATATCATATTATATCTTGTTTATTGGAATAAAATGTATTGTTAATTGAAATAAAAAGAACTACTACGGAGAATAATTCCTATAATTCCAGAGCAAGAGCTACTCTAAAGCTTATAAAAAAAGTTTCTGCTATATAGTTGAAAACGCATGACTTCACCATATGTCTTTCTATTTTTCTCTCATTCAACATTCCCTTTATTGATAGACATGTAGAAGACCATTCATTAAGTAGGCTGAGGGTTCACCACAGGAAGCAAATAAGTGACAGTTTTTCTTCTTCAATTAGTAGTTTCCGTCAGTGGTAACATATAACTATTTACAGGCCTTACGTTGAGATTGCAACATTATGACACCCTTTGCCATTACTTCCAGAAATTCTAGTAAACTATTAGCAATTGTCACTCCTTCCTAGTCATGTGGCAGACATCACAGTGTTGTCATCAAGTTTTCACTTTTCTTTTCATACTTAAGTCTACGGTATCTAAGCCTTTCAGTAGATTAAAAATCATGTAGAATGGAATCCCTTTGGCAATTTCATTCTCTTTTGGTTTTCCTTCGTAGCTTTATTTTCACATCAAATGGACAAATGGTTTTGGAGATTACTCTAGCACAAAAGAGTAGGGTCCAAAAAGTTCCACTAGTTCAAAAGCAAGTGGTACATGCAACATTATAAGATCACACTTAGTAATCATCCAATAATTATATAAGTCCATTAAACCAAAAGTTATTCATTTTAAGGAAAGTGTGAAAGACACTATTACATTATTACTTGAAAGTACTAGACCTGTTGCAATGGTATAATGGTAAGGCCTTTTTATGAACCTTCAACTTCATGATTGTCTCTTGGTTGCCCTTTAATAGCTGTTAGAATACCAGAGTTATTCATGTGTTTGGTCACAGCGCTAAGGGACTAAGCACTTTAAACAACTGGTCGCTGGTTCAATCTCTGACTCTTGTGTATGGAGAAAATTTCGGATGGGAGAACCCATTTTGTGTGCTTAAAAGGTTCTATGGCGGAAAATAGTCCCTGTTAAACGGCAGTGGATACTTCGTAACCATAACATAGTTATAAAAAAAGTTTTTTTAGGTTGAATTATAATAAAATTAGAAATGTCTGGTTAAAATTTTGTAACACATCAATATAAGATCAGATCTCATGCATATTCAAGGGTTCTCTCTATTGATCTCCTTTGCATCTAACCGCACCCAAATTACAGTAGCAACAAATAGGAGAAAACAGATCAATAATTGAAACAAATAGAATATTAGTTCCAAAAATCAATCCTTTTGTCCACAGAGCCAAATTCCTACTGTGGCATGATGCCTACAGCCCATAAGAAATTGTTTGATTCTGGTCTATACCATTCTCCAAGATTTGATGGAAGGGAGGCTTGTGAGTTGTTGATCCAGGCAGAGCAATTCTGATCTGGGGCAAGAGATTCACAGTAACGGAAAATGGACCTGCCAAAGTTTGATGGCAGTAATAATGCCTATTGGTGACTGATTTGTATTGAGAAGCATTTTGATGTTGTGGGAACACTGGAGAGTGAGAAGTTGTCGAAGGCAGTGAAAGCCTAGAGAAACCGTGCTCTCATATGGTAGCAGTGGTGGAATCAAAGCCATCTACAAGCGAGTTGGCAAATGTTTCATGTTGCACTACTTTAGCATTTTAAACCTGAGTATAGAGACCTATATTTTAGTCTAATCGAACCGGCGTTGTTAATGCCTACTGCTTTCATGCTAAGTTTTTGGGTCAAATATACCTACTGCAATCTTGCTTGTTGCTGATTATAGGAGACAAACTGGGTGTACTATCAGGTAAAGCACCAAAATAAATAAATGAAAAAGAAGAAAGAGATTATAATGATGGTTATGAAAACGAGATTAAAAAGATAAATCAGAAAAAACTAATTCGGAAGTGCGAATGAAACGAACTTACGGGTGGAAGAGAACGAACACCAAGAGATTTGGGTGGAGGAGTAATCTCAACGACTTTGTATGGGTGAATATCTCTGTCTCTCTTTCTACTACTGCACGATACCTCAAACAACATCATCTTCTGGGATGAACCAACACCTATGTTCATCATGCTCGACCATGTCAATGCCATTCTCAAAATCCTTTTTTCCCTTTCTCCACAAACTAACTCAAATTGCAACCAGAAATTTCCAGATTTTCTTTTGATGCTGGACAGCCACGCGTCTCTAATTTTTCAAACCACTTTCATTCATATAATAACATCTATTTCAATGCACGCCAATATCCATTAGGGTGTGTTTCGATTCATCTAAAATAACATGGAATGGTACAAAATGATATGAAATAACATTATGTTTTATTGTTTCGATTGATAAAAAAAACAAGATCAAATTGAACGGTCAGATTGAATACATTCTATTTCATTTAATTATTTTTTGTACTATTTGATAAAATTATTATATTATATCATAACGTAGTCAAACAATAAAACAACATCTTTATTCTATTTTGTTCGAATCCGCTCCATTCTTTTTTAAGTATTCAAACATAATCTTAATTTTAGTTTTATTTGATAATATAAAAATTTATAAATTAATGGATAATAAGTTGCCCGCTATTTTTTTATAACAAATTAGTTCTCTTAAAAAATTATGAATATTACATTTTATTTTAATTATTTAACATTTCATAGTAATTTATAACTATGTTTTATAGAATAGTTTAATTAATTAATTCATTTTTCAACGAAATAAATATTACATGAAAGAAAATATAAAGGAAAAGATGTAGGATAAAAACCTGACTCTTCAACAAAAAATTAATCAAAAACAAAAAATGTTCAATCAAATATATTTCTTATGAAATCATATGCTTCACACAAAAAATAGAGTATCATCAAATTTAATCTTGAATGTAATAATATGTATTTGTTATACAATCGACATAATTATTATCTTCACGTTAAATGTAAGACACGTTGAAACAGAGCGATATAATCATATGGATAGTTATTTTCATTTTGATAAAAAAAATTTAAGGGACAAATGGTAATATAAGTGAATGCTTGAATGACAAGAAAGAGAATCACTTTTAAGTCAAAGTTTAGTTCATCTTCTCTTAGAAGCATGCTTTATAACTAGAATATACCAAAGTTCAATTTGAAAAGAGGTCCCAATACCTCGAATTTTTAAGAATGCCTTAAAATAGATGTTCAACAAGTCGGGATAAACTCCTTTACATGTTACAAATTCAAGATTCCTTTGTGAAGCCTCGTCTATATCGCATTCAATTAAGTGATATTATGGACATTTTGAATAGATTTACTTAATTAATGAGTTGAGTAAATAAATAGATTTACTTAATTAATGAGTTAAGTAAGAATAACTTACTATTATAAATATATAAGAAGAGATCTTATCCCTTAATAAGAACCACGTAGTCATCGAAACTGAATTAGGAGTTGCAATGGATGAATTTGTGAGAAACGCCACAAACAGAGTGAATAACTAATTGATAAGTTAGGAAGACATCATAACATTGTGGTCGATATGTCAAGTTTTTAACGCCACGAAAAATCGATAAGATAGAAGTAAGGTCTGAAGAACCAAAGAGAATAAATTTTGTTGGAACAAAATTGGTTTATATCATATCCCTTATGATTTGATGATAACAAAATATTTAAAGAACAATTGAGTAGACTAATGTGCGTTCAAGTGTACAGGTACAAAGATCAATATATTGATTGAAACTCAGTTCTGAAACTGCACCGAACATTGAAAAAGAAGCTCTTAATAGGTAGATTTTGAAGACCATACTCTAAATAACCAACTTCTAATCAAGCTGATCAGAAGCTGAAGTCTCCAGACTCTAAACAAGCCAGCCTCTAAAGAGTCAGAGTCTAAAGGATCAAAAGCTAAGACTCAGAATCTGAAGGGTCAGAACATGAACCCAGTCAAAACTCAAGAACCAAGGATTTTCTAACACGTCGTTATCAGACTCTAAGGTCAATTTGTCATGTTTTTGTCACGTGATAACTCAGCAGAAAGTTGTAGAAGTCTGAAGGTTTACAACTGATAATTCCTTTTGTAGCAAAGGAGTTTCAAATGAGTTTGCAACAGAATTAACAATTTAAGGAATCTTTGCAAAGGATTTGTTTATATCTCTCTTTAACGACTCTTTTGTGCTTAAAGATCTCTCCAATGACTCTTTCATGAAACTCTATAAAAGGAGCTGAAGATTTGGAGAAACATATAACACTGTGTCTCGAGAAGAAAAAGAAAAGTTACTATGTCAAAACAAAGAACACAAGTTATTGTACCCCAAAATTTGCGCTCCCATATTCCTCAAGATATGTCAAGAATCATCTCCAAATGGTTCAAGATTGCTCAAGAGTTAGACATTCAAGCCATCTCCTTAGGCAGTCAATTCAAAATTAGGGTTTTGGTTCTTTCAAGGAATTTGGGGTTTTCAATGGTTCAATCAAGTCTCATAGGCCTATATACATTCTCAAGCACCTACATGCCAAGTTTCAAGACTCACAGTGCCAATTTGCACAGTCAAAAGCTCCATTTGATCTACAGTCAACTACAAGGGCAAAATGGTCATTTTGCAGTCAAAAGTCAGAATTCTTGGTCAACATCTTATTTTGAGTTCACAATCATGATTTGATCAAGTCTTGATCATGATCCCACAAGAATAAGCTCAAAAATCATCAAGGTGCAAAAGTTACTATTTTTGGACAGTAGAAAAGTCAACTGTAATTTGACCAGGGCATAACTCTTTCATGGTTTATCAGAAAAATTCCATCCAAAGCTCATTTTGAATAGGATGCAATTTCCTACAATCCATCTTCATACTCCAAGATCAGGAAATTCTCTCACAAAAAGTTACAAATTTTTACATTATAGGTCAATTTCAAAAGTCAACAAAAGTACACTTTGAGTCAAAGGCCATAACTTGATATTGGTAAATCCAAATGACATGGGACCAAAGGCATTGGTTAGAGGACATCAAGGGCTTTCCAAAATGTCAAAGAACATGGTCATATGATCCAAATTGAGCAAGTTGTGCATTGGAGAAGTTGGGAAATTTTCATGAATTTGCAAAAGTCAACTTTGCTCAAAACACCTTCTTTTTGCTAATGGGCCTCAAATCTCTTCTTGAAACTTCACCCATGACCTATGCACGACCCACCAAGTTAAATTGGATTTATTTTCTTAAATTTATTGATTAAATGGATTTTTAATATATATTAATTCATTTAATTAATTTAAATCATAAGAAAATACAAGATTTGATTTTTAAATCAATTTGTGAACCAAATATGATCCAAATATGCTGACCAATTCGTGCACAAGCTAAAAGATACAAAAATATCCAATTTTGGCAACTTGTTCAATCATGGAAAATCAAGAATATTTGATTTATCAATCAAGGATTTAATCTTCAATGCATAAGGATTATGACCCAGATTTTGACCTAATTTGACTGCCTTATACATAAGCAAGCCAACCATACCCTAATACACGATTGAAAGCTGCAGAAACGGCCATATCAATTTCAAGAATTTTCAAGAAAACTCAAAACGGGTTCTTGCATTCTAGGCCAATTCAAGGCGTTTTGTCCATCCAAACACATTGCAGGAGGTACCAGGAGTGAATTGCAATCAAATTCAAGCATCAAAGCTCAAGGAATCACGACATACAATTTCACGGTTTGCACTTATAATTCCAAATTGTATCTCTTAATTCATATACATTTAACATGTTTTTGTGATTGATTTGTGTTGTTAGAGATCATACAAAGCTAATGGAATGGTTGAATTGAACCATAGTGCCCTGAATCGAAAGATGCCATGATTGAATTTCTAGGGTTTTCAAGCTTTTAAATAGGGCTTTTCAGACTAGGAAAAATTGGGACCAATGGGATACATGGTTGAAATCGTGAGACCAAGACGATTGGAACCCATACCTCGCGAAATATTTATGTTTGTTGTGTGTTTATTCGCTATTTTTCGTGCAGGGAGGTTATGGGGGTTAAAAACCCCCGCTATCTGATTTTATTTACACAGAACAAAGGTTGAAGATGATGACGTGTGGTCATCTGGTTGGTTTATTTGAAAAGCGCGCGTTTTGTTTTTTTATTTACAGCATGTTGATTTGTTTTCATATATAATAATCGCCTCTTATTTCAATAACAAATAAAGCATGGTGGTGTAGTGGCAGGGACGCTGGCCAATGAGCATTGGGACCTGGGTTCGAATCCCAGGTCCCCCAAAACCTTGTTTTTTTTCTTCCACAGGTATTCACGTGCAAGTTTCAAAAGGGAGTCCACCATATGCTTCAAATCTCAGCACGCCAAGTGGCTTCAGGCCAAGATCCAGTGGCCAAAGTTGAAGGACCACCATACTCCTTGGTCAGCGCACGCATAGCAAATCCTGGAAAGTCAATGAGGCTGGATGCTATTGGGCTTTAGGCATGCTGATTACACCACAAAATTGGGCCCAACACCCCCTTCACAAGTTTATTTCTTTTCCTTTATTTTTTTATTTTTTTTTCTTTCACTTAATTATTTTTATAATTATTATTTATATCACTAACAAATTAATAATTAACATTTTCTTAATAAAAATCAGAAAACATAAAAAATATAATATTTTTATTTATTAAATTTAATTAGTTTATTTTGTAAATAAATACTAATATAATTTGTTTAGTTTTAATTAGGCATAATAATAATATTTTTGCAATAAATAAAAATTAATGTAGAATTAGGTTTTAACCATTTTAATCATCTCTATTTTTATTTCCTTAAATATTCTAAAAAAAAAAATATATTTCTCTTTTTATTTAATTAATTAAGTAGTTTAGGTTTAATTTAATTAAAATGCAAAATAACCAAAAAAATCTCTTTCTTTTCTAATAAGGGTCAAAACCCTATAAAACTTTCTGATTCAATTTTTTCTCGCGCGTATGATTTGTTGGTTCATATTTTGATCCATAAAATTGTATTTATTCTGAGGATGTAATAGCTTTATTTAGGACTTTTTATTGCTTTCATTTAATTTTCGCCAATTTACTTTTCAAGGGTTTGTTTTTGGCGATGTAAATACACGACGCCTTGTAATAGCGT